GGGTAACTTTTCCCGATACCCTATCCCCTCTTATCGGTGCCTATTAACCTAAGTAAAGCTCACTTGGCTGGCCCTACACTATTATCTTTAAAGTGCAAAGACCCCTCCCGATCACATTTTCCATTCAATCAACATCGTTTGAGCGGGCAAAATCCAAAATCTCATCACACTTTTAACCATTATTACAAAGAATCAAATAAAGCAAAGCTCTCGCATGTCATAAGCGTTAAATTCAATTTGAGTTTTACAACAGAGCGCGTGGTTCGGTTCGGGCTTTTGTTCGGGTTTGTTTGACAGTTTTTGCAGCGCACTCAATCAGCACTTGTTAGAACTTTTTAGTGTGCTGTAAAATAAACATGAGTATAGTATAGTGCTGAAATGAAATGAAATTTAATAAATGCAGTGCGGCAGTGGGTGGTCGGTGGGTCGATGGAAATAAGAGTAGAGCAAAGCGACAGGCAGCATGACATGCACTTCATAAAACTTTGCTCATATAAATTGAAATTGAAATGAAATGATGATGCCAGAGAGCTGCCACGGTGATATGTGTGGCTGTGGATGTGGATGTGCATGTGAACAAGTGAGAGTTGACAACCGGCGGAAGCTTCGTCCTGGATTCTAGACCCCCCCCTCCCCCTCCCACTCATCCTCTATCCCCCCACCATCGCACAATGGCTGGCTGTAAAAATTTGTTGGCCAAACAACAAGTGGAGCAGCCAAAGCAGCGGCAGCAACAGCCTGAAAAACAACTTAAACTGTCATTGCAAAGTTTGAGGCAAAGCCCGGTGAGCCAGGGGATGGGGTATTAAAACTTTTCTCTGAGCAATTATGTGAAGGCTACTTAACTTTTTTTTCTCTACTTTTTTTGCAGGCAATAAATTTGCTCTTTAAGCTGAGACTCGAGAGGGGAGCACGCACCTGAGTTTGCAGCGACACAATTTTGTTGCACACTCGATTTTATTTTCCTTTTTTCGGGCGTTTGGCCCGCCCACTCGTAGAATTTGCCATAGCTATGTGCAGAAATTCAATTAGCCAGCAGAGCGTGGGCGGATGGGTTTTTGTGGGGTATGGAAACAGTTTGCCACTTGGCATGCCATGCAGTTTTGGGGAATGCTTTGAAATACACGCATGCACACTGCGATTCGGATACTCTCCGCATGCCTAGATACATTTCCACCCGTTTTGTGTGGTTGTGACAGGCTGGCGATGATGCTGCCGCTTGCTGCTGCTGCTTGCTGCATACTTGCCTCAATTACGCCGAAAATGTCACATTAATTATTGGCATTTATGGGGTTTGCGCCGCTTTTGATATGATAGACGACAATGCAGGCCAACATTTGAAGTCTACTTTACGGCGTGCGCCATTGTTGTGTCCTCGAGTGCGCGCGTCTGTGTGTGTCAGCCGCACATAAATATCTCCAGTGTGTGTGTGCGGGTGTGTGGGTGTGTGACTGGTTGTATGCCGTATTAATTGGAATTTGTTTTTGTGTGTCAGCTGCAAGACGACTCCGGAGGTCTCTCTGCTGGCTTTTGCGGCAATTAAAAGTTAATTTGACAAAGCGAGACATTTTGAATTAATTTCGAGTCTAAACGATGTTTTAATTCAATTTATGTTTTTGGCAGCACAACTTGACAATGCCATCAATTGAGTAGGTCGATTGACTCAAGGTCTTAAGCGAGGATTTGCCATTCAAATGTGGCTAAGTAGAATGTGTGCATTTTATTCTTTAAATTAATTGAGTGCTGAGCTGGCCCTTCCCCAACCATTTGGCCCCCGATTCCAATTACTTAATGACAGCTCTGCAGTCGCAGTGATTAGGCGGAAAGCGCTTTAAGCCAGAAACTGCCGCCTTGTTAACGTGGCCCATTCAACATCAACTTACGCCAACCGTCTGTCAGCAACAGGAGCCGCTCTCCACACTCGTGCGGCTACTTATGCAAAATGCACTAGACGACACCCCTTGCTGCTCATATATCCACGCACATGGGAGCTTTGATTACCGGCGGACGGAGAGCGAGACAGCCGGAAAGCGGGACAGACGGACAGCGGGACGGAGGGACGGAGACCCGGAGACACACAATTGTGTTGATTGCACAGATGACAAGACCCAGGACGAGATGACAACTTTGCTGCCTGCCAGCCTTGATGACAATGAAGTGCATGCATGAATATTCTAATCAAATGAGCCGCCAGCCTGTCCTGGCTCCATGCTCCTGGCTCCTGGCTTCTGGCTCCTGCCTGCGGTCCTGCCATTGTCGAGCTGTAAAATTTTTCGCCTTCACCACATGTTTACACCCAGAGAAATTTAGATCTCTACATACCATACTCATTAAATATTACACTCCTAAAACATTCTCAAATTTTCCTAAAACTGATTGTGTATGCTCAAATATTTAATAAATTAATATCCTATGATGTAAAATACTATTGATAATTTTGAAATGAAATAAATTAACTTAATTATTGCTTTCAGGAACATAATTAAATATTTTAACATCAATAAGTGAGGTAGAACATCCGATTCTAAAGTAGTTAGGACATATTTTATGGTTTATTAAGGCGTTATAGATTTTAAACTTAGACGTTGTATTACCTAAACATTTAAATAATCATCCCCCCTAAAGTCTTCTAAAAAATACAATTTTCTGGGATGTGAATCCGAACTTATGTATTTTTCTATGGTTTTCAGGGAGGTATTTTTCTGCATGTAAATTTCGCCCAGTGCTGTGCCACATGCTTTGTGTTTTGTGCTAGGCAAAAGTTTCAAAGTCAGCCCAAGTCCCCGGCCAGAAAAACCTTTCCTTTACCTCGTTTCAGTTCATTCACTCACTGAAATCGAATTTGCATAATTTAACATGATGGTTGCGCTTATTCCTGTAGCCTGTCAGACACACAGACACAGACATCGGCGATGAGGGGCTGGGGTTATTATTGTTCGCCCTCGGATTCAGCGTCACCGCATTTCGCTGCCACATGCATCATAATTTGCATACATTTTGCAGTTCGCCCAGTCAGTCAATGTTCATTCCTCATTACCCCGCTCGCCGCTCAGTCGATTTTCTTTGAATATAATTCGCAGCGGAAAAGTGGAAAAGTGCGGTGGCGAGGAAGGAGGAGAAAAGGCATTGACGTTGATGGATTTTGGCACTTACACAGGCTAGCGCCTGTCACTTTCCTAACACCAACTGCGACTCCGAAAAAGGAGCGCCAGACTCGGCTCCAGTTGAGCTGACTTTGAAGCGCATTTTAATGAAGAATGATATGTTGGCATCGCAGCCGCAAGAGCCGCAATCATCCACTCCCCCTCCTGGCAATTTTCCAACCCCCAGCCCACCATTTAACCACATTGACTGACAGTTTTCGCGGCTTTGCACGCAGCCACTGTCGAAGTTTGAAGGGCGACGACATCAACAACAAGTTTTCCTGTTCAACAGGAAGTGAAAAGCACAAAACGAAGAAAAATGAAAATTTGTATCAAATTATGTCGCTGCTTTGTCTTCGATTCGTATGACATTCCTGTGCGTTGGAATGGCAAAATATATGCGTAAGATATTTCAGCTATTCAAATTTGTGGCATCAATTTGATTTGAAATTGATGGCTGTCGTGGTGGAGGCCTGAAAATCTCAGAGCCTCCACTCACTTCCCAATTTAATGCCTAAGTGCAGCCACAACCCCTGGAAAAAAACGAAAAAACAAAAACAGAAAAGTACACAAAAATAACAAACAAAAATAAATACCCCTGAACATTGGTTTTCTATGCAAAGTGTCACATGGCCAATGTGCCACGCCCCCTTCCGACCGCTGAACGCTGCCTTTTCATGCATATCAAAATGGCAACAATAAACGCCAACAAAAGAACAACAATAACAAACATTAACATGGAAATACATACGCACACGACGAGGACGACAAAAGGCGGCAGTCAAAAATGTTGCAAATGTAAGCAAAATAAAAATATATAACAAAGACACAATTACACTCACAGACCGAGTGTTTGCCAATGTGTGTGTTTGTGTATTTGTAAAACCAAAACTTTTGACATAATAAAATGGAATGTTATTGTTAAAAAAGTTACTTGCATATTAAAACAAACGAAACTTCCCACCGCCTCTATCTCTCTTATTTTTTTTTATTTTTATACACCATTTGTTTGCCCTCTGCATGTGATTGTGTGTGCGTATTTTTACTTGCAAATGCCGCATACAAATGCAAATGGCCGGCGTGTGAAACGAGCAGCACTGCCAAAAGCAAACAACTTTAATTGAACTGTTTACCCGATTTTTATTTTATGCCACCTCAAGGCCCTCAAACTCCCCAAACTCCCCGAAGCGGTGTAATTGTTATGGTTATGGTTTGTGATGATTATTTGGCTCGTTGCACAGCTGCCCACATTTTAATGGGACATTATCAGTTGGGCATATTTATCAGTACTTGTACTCCACGAAGAATTTGCAGCTCAAATTATACGACGAATGGGTTTTGAACTGAAATACTTTTAGCATTTCTACTCACAATCAAGCTAATGTCAAATAATCTTAGGTTTACTTAAATAAATGGAAAATACAATTCTTTAGCTATAACCCACGTTGCTTATACGTAATATAAACATTTTTGAATATAACATTATCAGTCTTCATCCCACCTGAAAATCGTACCTATGGATTGTACAAATAAAACAGAGAACTTGCCGAAGGCGCTACGTATACTTAATATAACCACATTTGAATGGGGACATTATCAGTTATCAGTTCCAGCTAAGGATTGCACAATCTATAAGACATTGATATAGCCGGGTTTTAATCTAAAATACTCTTAGCATGTCTACTCACAACCAAGCTAATGCCAAAAACGATCAACAGAATCAAATAACTGGAAAATACAACAGATAACGAGCCGAACACGTTACGTATACTTAATATGAACAGTATCTTAGGTGGGAAAATTGAGGGGGGTATAGCTGTAGATAGGTATATATAGGTTCAAGATCGAGTTACTCACCTTTACTAGCTCCGTCCGGGCCACGCAGTATGGTGCACTCCTCTATAGTGCCGAACGGATGGAAGATTTGTCTAACATCGTCTTCGGTCTGTTGTTTGCTGAGCATGCCAACGAACAGCTTGCGATCTAAATGCTCTGTTTTGGTTTCGGGTTTGTTCATGTTTCATGTCATGTCATGTGATTCGATCGATCCGATTGATTTTGATTGATTTACGATTGATTTACGATTTTGATTTTTGTTTTTTGTTGCACCAAAAGAGACGGCAAAATGGACAAGTGGCAATGTGTGTTTTGTTTTCGTTGTGTGTGGCAAAGTGTTCGATCGTGTTTTGTGAAAATGATAAGTTTTCAATCAAGAAGCCATAGCCAGAGAAAATTCGCATTAAATTAAAGTGAAATCCGAAAAATGAATACGGAAAAAATATATATTCTCGATCATAATATGTAAGTGTTTCGTATAAAGAGAGATGTAAATGCAACAGGGTTACACATTACGCAACATTTTGTTTTTTTGTAACGAGTAACGAACGCAGCAGGCACATTTACGTAATTGTTTTTTTTTGTATGGTAATTTGTTTTAAAATTTCAACAGGCGCAAAATACCCAAAGAAAAGTAAAAGCAACAACATTTATTTAAGGAGAAATTCGTTGGTGTTTGGGTGGATAGTTTGAGCACCAATAGAGCAAATACAATTACAACATTTATTAATGTGGTTAGGTTTTTTTTTTGGGGTGGGAAGAGGGAGTACAAATTTTGATTGTTTAAGCGGAACAAATTTTTTGTTGAAATTGTTGCATCAAGAAGGTAGAAATTTCGATATGGAAAAAAACCGAATCAAATCAAAATAACACGAAATCAATCACAAAAAAGTCAAATTAGTTTTTGAAAATAATAAGAGAAGAATTGTCAGTTTTCCAATTTTGCCAATTTTGATGTATTCATTTTTTTTTTTCGTTTCAATCATATATATTTGATATAGAGCACGAACAAGTGTTACATAAAAAGGAAAGAAAAGAAGATAAAAATGGGTGATATTTAGTAAAATTGTCGTACAATTTGTTTTTTGTTTAACTTACAACTTACAAGAATGGAAATTAGCTATTCAAATACGTAATATATAATTATGTATATTTATATATATATATATAGAACAGACACGCACGCACACACAAGCAAACCATCTCGCACACACACTTACAAGCTGGCCACGCACAGAGCTACTGAGTTAAGGATAGACATTGAAAGGATATTGAACACGCTAGCCACTACTTGAAAAAAGATTTGGTAAAATTACGGGCGAGCATGAGGAAATGTATGGCTTAAAAGTACTTAGAGTCTCTGTTTTAAGGCTAGGTGGTGTGAGAGCGATAGATGGTGGTGGTGATCAGCAAAAGATTCGATGGAACTTAATCAATATCTACTGGTGAATGAATAAGGCAGCTGTCGCATTTCACCTCTTTCTCCTCTATCTCTTTCCTATTTCCAATTTGTCGCTTTCAAAAAGCATATAGACTGGCACCCAAGAACACCGTCTCGCACTCGTATCATATCGAAAATTGAGCGTCACATAATTGGCAAAACACTTGCCACAGACAGCCAGTCCGACCCAGCTGCTGTCGCGTTAAAGTGGCAAAAGCAATCGAAGTAGAAAATAACTAATACGACACGTTGGACCCATGCACATGGCCTGCAGGCAATTGTCTTGTGTCCGGGTTAAGCCTAATGGCATTTGGGCTTCGTACCGTTCCGTTCCTTTTCGTCCTGCAACCCCGCCTTCCCCTTTCCCCCACTCCTTTTTTCCGTTGTCCCAAGCACGTGCAATAAGCCAAACAACGCCCCTGGCATGCTAAACAACAACAAGAAGAAGGGCAAAAAGAAGTGGAAGAAGGGTTGGCTTAATAAAAATGTAAAGCACGTTGAAATGAAGCAGGGGAGGGCGAGGCGAGGTTTCGGGCCAGGACAAGGTAAAAATAGTGCAGCATACTTTGCGGCGCCTGCTGTTGTACATATGAAATGGCATAGTTCAACTGGCTGTTAACAGTTGCGGCCAAAAAAAAAAAGACCTAGGGTGGGATAAGAAAAAGAAGGGGGTGGAGAGAGGGGTGGAGGTCAGGACAAAAGGATTTGCACAATGTTTAGCCTGGCGTTGCAGCAATTTTCTACAATTACCTGGGGCACAACGACACAGACCGGCAGGGATAAAATGCACACAGGGCTTTCAGTGATTCCCTTTTGGTTGTTCTCCTCTTTTGCTTTTACTTTCCTCGTTTTTTTAACTTTACATTTTTTTCGGTCTCTCAGCTAAAGGAAAGAGCAGTGAAAATAATATTAAAGGCCATTAGGCTCATATAGACAAGTTAAGTGGCTGCTGGTTCTGGGTCCTCCGTCCTCGTGATTCCTTTGCCAGCCATGTGTGTGTCAGTTTTTAGATTTTATTTTTATGCCTTCTCACCATCCTGGCTGTCCTTTTTGGCCACGGCAAAAGAAGTCATTAACGTGTCGTTGTCTTTGATGCCGCCGCGCCAAAGAGGTGAGGGGCATCAAAGTGGGCGGCAAAAAGAAAGCCAAATTAAATTAGCTAACCACATGGCAACTTTTGTACATGTGCTGCACTGTGAGACGACAAGGACAGGCCACTAATTGTTGCACGTTATGTTTTTGCTTATCTTCCCATCCAGGATCTGGGATCCGGGACCCGGGATCCAGCATCCAGCATACAGCTGCATCTTCAACGCTGTTTTCCTACCCTCTCCGGGGAAAAGTAATTGTATTTTAAGTCCTGGCCAAAGGTGAAAAAGCCAGTCGCGTCCATGAATAATACAAAAAAATGTGGAGACAGCGGCGCCTGAGGATAACAAAAAAAAATAAGAGGAAACTAAACACAAAGTCGCTGACAAAGCGAAAGTCAAAGCTCAAAGCTCATGTGTCCCCGAACTCCCGCCATAGCCGTTTTTTACTGTACTGGCTGGCTTCCTTTGACTGGCTGGCTGGGCACTGTTGCCAATTGACATGTAAATTGACGTTTAATGGCTGCTAATGAGCGTCTGAGGATTAGTTCTTCCTCCTTCGAGTGAAGGCGATTGGACAGGTGGGGCCATTTGAATACATCAGAGGAGGCGTGACTACATCAGGTGTGCGCATTAAGTTTAAATTTCTCTGCTCAAATGCCGTCTTTGCCGGGGGATTAGGTTCAATCTTTCGAACCCTTTTGCTATCCCATTGCAGCTAATAAATCATTAAACAAACAAATAAATACTCCATTAATTTTCACAGCTTAGCCAACATTTTGAGAACCAACTCAGCTACAAATGAAGATCCTACCGTAATGCGACCAATTCATATCTGAAAATGTTTTAATCTGATTACTGCAGATAGCTCAAAATGCTATGTAAATATGTTTAAGTTATTAATTATTTTGTGGGGATTTTCGGGCTCCTCGTTATAATTACAAAACTTTGTGGGAGACGAGTGGCGTCTTGGAATAATATTTGCTTGGCAAAAATTGATTGAAAACAAAATCTACCCGCTCAACCCCCAATCACTGCCATTCTGTATTTATGTGTTTGTATCTCGTCTGACCACGTTTATTTTGCTATAAATTATTGAAATTGTAATTACTTAGGCAGGAAATGGGTAAATCGTATACTTAATGCTGCCCATCAGTTAAACTGGCCCTTAATGTTGAAATGCCCGATTTTCTTAGCAGCTTGTAATGAAAATTTAATTAGAAACATGTATATACATTGATTAAGGCAGGCAGCACTTTGTGCCCGAGCCTAAAGTAGTTTTTCATTTGCATTTTTCTATATTTTATTAGAGCACTCTACTCTAGTCCCCGTTTGATTGATGATGTGGATGACTGGGGAACGGGCAAATGAGTGACTGGTAAAAGGAAACTAATTAATATGTAATTAGTGACACTCATTTGACATGTAACGAGGATAATGTAAAAATATTCCGCACTTTTCTTCGCAACGAGAAGGGGTGGAAACTGAATGGGGTGGTGAAATTCATCCTCTTCGAGGCTTTGATTAAAATGTAAATGACTCCAATCCGTACGCCATATGTTGGGCCCAATCACTGGGATCAGATGTTGCAAATGCCTTGCTGCCCCATCAATATTGCCGGCAATTGTTTCGCCTCGTCTGGGGCAAGTGTGCCTGCAGGCCAAGGACTGGATCGTCGACATCCCGTTTTTATGGCACTCAGACAGCAGACTGACTGGCGGTCTGAAAGTCATCCCCGCACAGCCGACGGAGGTGTCAGTATTTATACAGCAAATAAGCTAAACGCTCCCTTTATGAGTCCCTCAGCGGTGGCAAACAGTTGGTGTCGTCGCCCCGACAATTGTGTGGCAATTGTCAAAAGTCTCCCCAGTCTTGACGTTTAAATATGACTAGAGATAACTCAGACCCCAAAAACAGTGCTCTTTTCGCCTTTGTTGTCATTGTTGCGAGAATCCTTTGGGCCTGCTTCCGGCGACTTTGAGCTTGGAGTTTATTTGTCAGTTTCGTCTGTTTGAAATTCTTCAGTAATAAGCGTAAAACTCGACTATAGGCTGGGGACAAACTCGCAAAATTATACAAATTCTGGCGGAATGCAGGCCTAGCCCTAAGCCAAAGTTAGAAGTAAATTAGTTATTAGCCTTGTAAGTAGTTCAAAAGTTAAGCCACTTCGAGTTCTGAGAATTGGAAACGGGTAAGAGCCGCTAAAATGCGCCTAATTGTTAATTAGTGTCAGCGTGAATTTGTGTGCGGCTGCAGTGCCAGACATTTCCATAGTCACATTTTTAGGCACAAAAGTTTTTGTTTGGCCAGGGCCAAAAGTCAAAGGCAGACCGAGCGGAAATAGGATGAAGGCAGAAACTTTGCCTTCGTTGCTGTGGTATTGAAGTGTTAATTAATATTGAAAGGGATAAACTTTTGTCAGACTTTTGTGAGTGGCTGAAAAACGGGGACTGGAAGATTGCCATTTAGGTTTTCTCAACAAAAAACAAAAATCTTTACTTTAAAATTAAAAGAAATGAAGGGTAATTGAATAACCTTTTGGACTATTAACAACTTCAATATAAGTCGGACTTGGGCTGTGATTTTGAAGGTTTTGGTTATTTTGAAATGTGCTTTCTTTACCCAAA